TTGGAAAAAATGGGAGCTGTATTTGGTCCGCTGGAGGGATTGTCATGCCATTGGTGTAGTGTTAATTTTGATAGTAGGGTCTGTTTGTTTGGTGAGAAAACCTGATATGATCAGTGATAAATATCGACTGTGTTAATGAACGTCATAGAATCTTGGTACAAGAAGGGATGCTTCAGTTGGTTATGTTGAAGTCTTGGGGAGTAAAGATAGCTCCTCTGATGGGTGTATATCATTGGGGAGTAAAGATAGCTCCTCTGGTGGGTGTATATCATTGGGGAGTAAAGATAGCTCCTCTGATGGGTGTATATCATTGGGGAGTAAAGATAGCTCCTCTGGTGGGTGTATATCATTGGGGAGTAAAGATAGCTCTCTCTGATGGGTGTATATCATTGGGGAGTAAAGATAGCCCCTCTGATGGGTGTATATCATTGGGGAGCAAAGATAGCTCCTCTGATGGGTGTATATCATTGGGGAGTAAAGATAGCTCCTCTGATGGGTGTATATCATTGGGGGTAAAGATAGCTCCTCTGATGGGTGTATATCATCAGATTGAAATATAGAATCAGCTAGCCCTCTGATGGGTGTATATCATTGGGGAGTAAAGATAGCCTCTGATGGGTGTATATCATTGGGGAGTAAAGGGATGGGTGTATATCAGAGTAAAGATAGCTCCTCTGATGGGTGTATATCATTGGGGAGTAAAGATAGCTCCTCTGATGGGTGTATATCATTGGGGAGTAAAGATAGCTCCTCTGATGGGTGTATATCATTGGGGAGTAAAGATAGCTCCTCTGATGGGTGTATATCATTGGGCAGTAAAGATAGCTCCTCTGATGGGTGTATATCATTGGGGAGTAAAGATAGCTCCTCTGATGGGTGTATATCATTGGGGAGTAAAGATAGCTCCTCTGATGGTGTATATCATTGGGGAGTAAAGATAGCTCCTCTGATGGGTGTATATCATTGGGAAATAAAGATAAGCTCCTCTGATGGGTGTATATCACTGGGCAGTAAAGATAGCTCCTCTGATGGGTGTATATCATTGGGGAGTAAAGATAGCTCCTCTGATGGGTGTATATCATTGGGGAGTAAAGATAAGCTCCTCTGATGGGTGTATATCATTGGGGAGTAAAGATAGCTCCTCTGATGGGTGTATATCATTGGGGAGTAAAGATAGCTCCTCTGATGGGTGTATATCACTGGGCAGTAAAGATAGCTCCTCTGGTGGGTGTATATCATTGGGGAGTAAAGATAGCTCCCCTGATGGGTGTATATCATTGGGGAGTAAAGATAGCTCCTCTGATGGGTGTATATCATTGGGGAGTAAAGATAGCTCCTCTGATGGGTGTATATCATTGGGGAGTAAAGATAGCTCCTCTGATGGGTGTATATCATTGGGGAGTAAAGATAGCTCCTCTGATGGGTGTATATCATTGGGGAGTAAAGATAGCTCCTCTGATGGGTGTATATCATTGGGGAGTAAAGATAGCTCCTCTGATGGGTGTATATCATTGGGGAGTAAAGATAGCTCCTCTGATGGGTGTATATCATTGGGCAGTAAAGATAGCTCCTCTGATGGGTGTATATCACTGGGCAGTAAAGATAGCTCCTCTGATGGGTGTATATCACTGGGCAGTAAAGATAGCTCCTCTGATGGGTGTATATCACTGGGGAGTAAAGATAGCTCCTCTGATGGGTGTATATCACTGGGGAGTAAAGATAGCTCCTCTGATGGGTGTATATCATTGGGGAGTAGAGATAGCTCCTCTGATCGGTGTATATCATTGGACAGTAAAGATAGCTCCTCTGATGGGTGTATATCATTGGGGAGTAAAGATAGCTCCTCTGATGGGTGTATATCATTGGGGAGTAAAGATAGCTCCTCTGATGGGTGTATATCATTGGGGAGTAAAGATAGCTCCTCTGATGGGTGTATTTCATTGGGAAATAAAGATAGCTCCTCTGATGGGTGTATATCACTGGGCAGTAAAGATAGCTCCTCTGATGGGTGTATATCATTGGGGAGTAAAGATAGCTCCTCTGATGGGTGTATATCATTGGGGAGTAAAGATAGCTCCTCTGATGGGTGTATATCATTGGGGAGTAAAGATAGCTCCTCTGATGGGTGTATATCATTGGGGAGTAAAGATAGCTCCTCTGATGTGTGTATATCATTGGGGAGTAAAGATAGCTCCTCTGATGGGTGTATATCATTGGGGAGTAGAGATAGCTCCTCTGATGGGTGTATATCATTGGGAGTAAAAAGATAGCTCCTCTGATGGGTGTATATCATTGGGCAGTAAAGGTAGCTCCTCTGATGGGTGTATATCATTGGGGAGTAAAGATATAGCTCCTCTGATGGGTGTATATCATTGGGGAGTAAAGATAGCTCCTCTGATGGGTGTATATCATTGGGAGTAAAGATAGCTCCCCTGATGGGTGTATATCACTGGGCAGTAAAGATAGCTCCTCTGGTGGGTGTATATCATTGGGGAGTAAAGATAGCTCCCTGATGGGTGTATATCATTGGGGAGTAAAGATAGCTCCTCTGATGGGTGTATATCATTGGGGAGTAAAGATAGCTCCTCTGATGGGTGTATTTCATTGGGAAATAAAGATAGCTCCTCTGATGGGTGTATATCACTGGGCAGTAAAGATAGCTCCTCTGATGGGTGTATATCATTGGGGAGTAAAGATAGCTCCTCTGATGGGTGTATATCATTGGGGAGTAAAGATAGCTCCTCTGATGGGTGTATATCATTGGGGAGTAAAGATAGCTCCTCTGATGGGTGTATATCATTGGGGAGTAAAGATAGCTCCTCTGATGGGTGTATATCACTGGGCAGTAAAGATAGCTCCTCTGGTGGGTGTATATCATTGGGGAGTAAAGATAGCTCCCCTGATGGGTGTATATCATTGGGGAGTAAAGATAGCTCCTCTGATGGGTGTATATCATTGGGGAGTAAAGATAGCTCCTCTGATGGGTGTATATCATTGGGGAGTAAAGATAGCTCCTCTGATGGGTGTATATCATTGGGGGAGTAAAGATAGCTCCTCTGATGGGTGTATATCATTGGGGAGTAAAGATAGCTCCTCTGATGGGTGTATATCATTGGGGAGTAAAGATAGCTCCTCTGATGGGTGTATATCATTGGGGAGTAAAGATAGCTCCTCTGATGGGTGTATATCATTGGGCAGTAAAGATAGCTCCTCTGATGGGTGTATATCACTGGGCAGTAAAGATAGCTCCTCTGATGGGTGTATATCACTGGGCAGTAAAGATAGCTCCTCTGATGGGTGTATATCACTGGGGAGTAAAGATAGCTCCTCTGATGGGTGTATATCACTGGGGAGTAAAGATAGCTCCTCTGATGGGTGTATATCATTGGGGAGTAGAGATAGCTCCTCTGATCGGTGTATATCATTGGACAGTAAAGATAGCTCCTCTGATGGGTGTATATCATTGGGGAGTAAAGATAGCTCCTCTGATGGGTGTATATCATTGGGGAGTAAAGATAGCTCCTCTGATGGGTGTATATCATTGGGGAGTAAAGATAGCTCCTCTGATGGGTGTATTTCATTGGGAAATAAAGATAGCTCCTCTGATGGGTGTATATCACTGGGCAGTAAAGATAGCTCCTCTGATGGGTGTATATCATTGGGGAGTAAAGATAGCTCCTCTGATGGGTGTATATCATTGGGGAGTAAAGATAGCTCCTCTGATGGGTGTATATCATTGGGGAGTAAAGATAGCTCCTCTGATGGGTGTATGTCACTGGGGAGTAAAGATAGCTCCTCTGATGGGTGTATATCATTGGGGAGTAAAGATAGCTCCTCTGATGGGTGTATATCATTGGGCAGTGAAGATAGCTCCTCTGATGGGTGTATATCATTGGGGAGTAGAGATAGCTCCTCTGGTGGGTGTATATCATTGGGGAGTAAAGATAGCTCCTCTGATGGGTGTATATCACTGGGCAGTAAAGATAGCTCCTCTGATGGGTGTATATCATTGGGCAGTAAAGATAGCTCCTCTGATGGGTGTATATCATTGGGGAGTAAAGATAGCTCCTCTGATGGGTGTATATCACTGGGGAGTAAAGGTAGCTCCTCTGATGGGTGTATATCATTGGGCAGTGAAGATAGCTCCTCTGATGGGTGTATATCATTGGGGAGTAAAGATAGCTCCTCTGATGGGTGTATATCATTGGGGAGTAAAGATAGCTCCTCTGATGGGTGTATATCATTGGGGAGTAAAGATAGCTCCTCTGATGGGTGTATATCACTGGGGAGTAAAGGTAGCTCCTCTGATGGGTGTATATCACTGGGCAGTAAAGATAGCTCCGCTGGGTGTATATCATTGGGTAGTAAAGATAGCTCTTCTGATGGGTGTATATCATTGGACAGTAAAGATTTGGGCCACTGACAGGTGTATATCATTAGGCAGTTATGATATGGGCCTATGGCAGGTTTATATCTTGGGTAGTATAGATTTGAGCCTGTGACAGGCATATATCATTGGGCAGTAAAGATTTGGGCCAATGACAAGTGTATATCATTGGACAGTAGAGACTGGGCCTCTGATAAGTGTGTATCATGTGGAAGTTTAGTATAGGCCCTTGAAATGTGTATCTTTGGTCTGTGAAGTTGGATTTGGGTGCCTGATATGTATGTCATTGGTCTGTGAAGTACAATGTGGCCTTTGACTTGTATATTATTTGTCTGGGAGAATGATAAGCCCTTCATAGTATGGCAGGCAAAGTCTGAATTGGGCACACGTTTTATCAGTATTATAAGGTGTATATCAGACCTTGTAATGCCCACTGCCATCTCGGCAGTATCGCATCTAGGTACCACTGTTCTAGGAACTGCTTTTGCTACTTAGGTATCAATTTCTAGCCCTGTTTATGAAACCTGACCATTACAACAGCAGACATCCACTAACTAAACCTGCTTCCTTCTGGCATCACCACCAAATACTGACATAACGTTTAACATTTCAGGGGGACATCCGTGATGCGTCTGCTGTACGTTCAGCTGTAGAGGGAGTGGATGTTGTGTACCACATGGCATCGTACGGCATGTCGGGCAGGGAACAGGTAGGTGGTTAGCTGTCACAACACTTGTAAAGGTTGCACACTATGTTTCCACCATTCAACAACAGGAGATAAATGTTGCCATTAACACATCATTGTCTGCAGCACATGATAATCCTCACTTTCCCAACCCCCCAAACCCCCACTCACACTCACATGATAATCCTTCCTCCCCACATGATAATCCTGCCTTCCATCATGATAATCCTTCCTCCCCACATGATAATCCTTCCTCCCCCCATGATAATCCTCGCTTTCCCAAACCCCCACTCACACTCACATGATAATCCTTCCTCCCCACATGATAATCCTGCCTTCCCACATGATAATCCTTCATTCCCACATGATAATCCTGCCTCCCCACATGATAATGCTTCCTTCCCACATGATAATCCTTCCTTCCCACATGATAATCCTGCCACTCCACATGATAATCCTTCCTTCAGAACATGGTAACAGTGTTCCCTCACAACATGCACCTTTATCATCATCATCACAAACCAAGATTCAGTTAACATTGAATGTGCTTAACTTTTGTTTAAGATATTATATCAGTAGGAGAAAGTACCATCAGCTGAGCGTCATCCCGTGTGAGCCATCGGTTGTTGCTGCTGACCCTGGATGTTGGGATTATTTCCCATGGTAGGGGAGAGGTGTTTCCTCTACAGGCTTGGGGCAAATCAGAGCGAGGTGTACCCGATCAGTAACAAATGTTCTCTTCAGCAGTCCTTATAAAAAACACCTGACTCCCTCACAAATATGAGTGACACTTGCTGATATGTTTTGGCTTGGTCACCTTGGGGTTTAGGGTCATGCAAATGAAAGAAATCCCATTGCGGTGAACTCCCACATTGTAGGGTGGAGTAGCCCTGTGGTGAGTGTGCTAGCTCATCACTCACAGGGTTCAGTAACCCATCTGTTCACAATGTGTGAAACACGTCACTTGCGGTCATGTTGCCGAGGAATTGTGAAAGGGGCACTAAAGACGACCACAATGATTTACTTCTCCTAACAGCCACACATATCTCTTCTCCCCATACACGTTCCCATCTCTGAATGAAGAAGATAAGGGAGGGTGTATGAAAAATACATTTAAGACATGAGACGTCCATGACATTCTCTTCTTATATTGCAATATTGTTATCTCTGAAGATGTCTGTTTATGTAAAACTTCCTATAATACAGGAGATCTGTAAGTAGCCAAGTGGTAAATGTGTTTACTAAACTAACTGGAGACAGGGTTTGATTCCAATCATTGGTATTATGTCTAATGCTTTATTTGGTATCCTTCATAATGATGCTCTTGTTGCCTTGATATGACCTATTGCTACATGCAGCATGAACCAAGCCTGGCTGTATATAAATATGATCTCATATTAATTTTGAATTATGAATATCATACATACCTTTAAAAGAGCTGTGCAAATCTTTAACTGTTAAAGACATATTGTCACCTTTGAAGAAAACTTTATGATATTTATTCTTTTCTGGACACTACAAAGGCTTGAAAGAATTGTTTTAAACATGCCCTTGTTCATGCAGTCTCTTAGAAAGACATGGTCATTTGTTATAGAATTTGTAACTGAATTCAAATAAAAATTGTGACCAGTTCTTCAATCTTTCAGACAGTAAAAACAATTATGGCTGAACGCGACCCTTCATTATCTTTCCGCTGTTAACAGCTGAAACAAAGGTATAATGGTGCCCAGCGAAATTAAATTATTGGAGGTTTTCTGTCTTACAATCACCTGTCATCTGTTTAAGCATCAATAAAAGCCATTCCATACAGGCACGTTAATGACCCAAGGGAGATAATTCTCTGTCCAAATGATTGCCCACGTAGTTAATTCTATTACACTTTCTCTGATGAACAGCCTGTTGGGAACTGTTGGAAAGAGAAGTTTAGAATTGTTTTAAATTAACTGCCTTTGCCATGTTCACAGCCTGTGTGGAATAGTTGCAGCAAAATAGGAAAAAAATAATGAATGTTTTTGGCCGATGATTGAATTTTGATTATGTGTATGTGGATACAGTGACCGGCATTAATTCACTTTGATTTTGTGTTTTAAATAGAGTTTTTAATGACTTATTGATCCCTGTTTTATGATATTGAGTCATTTTGTGTTAATGAAACATGACAGACTTGGCAGTTTAAGACGTCTATTAAAATGAGTGAGTAGTTTAGATTGATGCCGTTTCAGCCTTTTCAGCAATTTTCACTTCGCACACCTCCTGGCAACTTGACAGGAGATGAAAAGCCTTAAATAATCAAACTGATTGTTTTTCCTGATTGAAACTTCCAAGATTTAGGCTGTGTTTAGAAATCATAGCTGAAGTTTTAATTTAACACTGCAAGCTACTGCAGTGTAAATGAAGACAACACAGCCACATTGCTCCTGATGTTTTTCACTTCTGTTTCCAATTAAACAAACACAGAAAGTGAGAGCCAAGGCAAAATTAAAAACATGGTGGATAGATTTTCAAAAACCCAAAGAGATTGAAATCCTGGAAATACAGATTTGTTTTTAAGTTGTCATTAAAGTATTTGTTCTTAAAAAGAGCTCAAAAAGAGCTAGTCATCACCTGATTCTTTTTTTATTACAAAAGTTGATCTGTTATGATATGAAAGATTAACTATAGTGACATGAAAGAATCGGTAGTCCTTGACACTTTTTGAATAGCATACTTGCAATGATCTCTGCAGTGAGATGTTGGTAGAATGATTTGATGAAAGTAAATGAAGAATGCTGACATTTGGAACTGTATCATCATTTCTTTGAATGGTAAGAGTTACTTCCCTTCCCATATCTGTTTGATTTGAATTTAATCAAAAGTCGCACCAGAACATCCACAAATTGAGTTTTTAATGACAAGGATAAAACAAACATCTTGAACATGAATATCATTACCATTTATGCAGCATTTGTGGAATTTTGGGTTGACTGATCTGTTAATAAGGTGATGACATCCAAACCTGCCACATCTATAGTCTGTTTGCAGTGACAACATACCGATGAATTTCACTTTAAACAAAAAAGTAAATAAAATAAAGTGAAATTAAGATTGCGAATCTCATAGATTTACCTTGCCAACTGAACATTAAAATCTCAGAATTTTATTCAACATAGGATAAAAGTTGTTTAACAAACGATCATAGTTTCAAATCGCTATTATTTGTTTGTATTACAAGGGGGTATGCACATTAAATGAAACCCCGAGGACAAGAAGGGTTGGTTTCTATGGTAGTCTAAGTTAATGCTCATCACGGACCGCACGTGCTTTTGTTTCACTGTTCCAACTGCTGCGCTTACCCCCTTGTAGTACAAACCAATAATAGCGATTTGGGTAAAATTATGAGGATTCGCAATCTTAATTTCACTTTATGTGATTTACTTTTTTGTTTAAAGTGAAATTCATCGGTACGTTTTCACTGCAGACTATACCTATTATGTTTGGGAGTTACGACAGGAATGAACTGGTACATACAAGTACAAGTCCTCAGACTCCTTGTTGATCCCACTTCCAGAGTTGTTCATTTCCTGTTCGCAAATGTTTACAATTTAAACTGTTTTTTGCCCTTAATTTGGACTCCGAACATAAGATGAGGTACTGAAAAATTGATTGTAATTGTATTTGATTTCAAGTTCGCTTGTTCGATGTACTGGTGCTAAGATTGATGAGTTGTCTTTTTTTGTAATCATTTATAATGTTATCTTCATCTGTTGGCGTTTTATGATTCTTCCATGATAGGGATCGTTGTGAAAAGAGTTAGATATTCCACAAGATGAAAGTTAGTTCCTGTGAACGTTCTCATATTTTCTGAATTATTTTTTGTGGAATCAATCACAAGTGACATGTCTTTCAAACAAGCAGATATCACAGGGTGCTTCTAAGTCATGAAAATCGGCCATCAAAGCAGCTCGAAATATAAACCATTTCCATATTCTGGAAAAAAACAAATTGTAGTCATGAACATCAAAGTGTCCTGTGTTGCACTCTGCCTGTGCCGGTCAACTTTGACCAAGCCGTCTTATAAGCTGTGAAATAATCAAGGAAAGGAATATCAACTCATTATCGCAATTACCAAAACTTCACAGGACTTCTTATGGCAGAAATATTCACAGAATCATAAACGGTGATTATAGGCTATTCATTTCATATCCATCTAAATTAAACTCTCATCCCTGTGTTACTCCATCATCAGGTGTTTCGTCAACATCGCTGTCCAAGGTCATTCCTTATCAAATAAATCATTGCTAATTTGCTGGCATTCTGTTATGTGGAATATCACCACAGCTGTCTATTTGATAATAATTGGCCTCATTGGACAGAGGTCAGTGTGCCTACAGTGCCAGCTCCACACAATCCCATGAGCAATCAGAAATTTAGTTTTGAGCTGATGACAACTCTAGGCTATGTCAGTAGGGGGGAAATTTTGAACTCACTCTTGGGACAGATGGAAAAACCAAAATTGTTAATTGTGTGATGAGGACAGTTAGATTCCTTTATTCTGGAAGGAAGGGTCTTTACCTCCATGTGATAATATTTGTTCCTCACAAATCCATAATATTGACGAATTCTTCACATGGCAAAGTTTTAACTATGCGAGCACTAGTAGACCTCCCAGAGATCTGGATCAAAGAGCTAAAATTCATATAGTGTAAAGTTCCATTGAAATATTATTGGTAGAAATTGACTCTGTCATGAAGTGCTCATAAAGCATCAACAGTTTTCGCCATATTGAGCAGGGGGGGGGTTATTTTCAACATAATGACATTAGCCATCATGGCTTAAAAACAAATGTGTTTTTGCACGTGTGAAGAACTGCATGTTTGAATTAATTTTCCAGAAAAATTGTCACCATGTCTACCGCTAGAGTAGATGGGCATCTGAGGTGACAAAAGACACTTTTGTGATGTTTAGTTTCAGGGGTGGGCCATGTTAGATTCGGTCTCAGTAAATTCCCTGGTGTCCCAAGTGATGAACAAATTGTCAAACATTTG